TGCATACATTATTCATATAAATATACCAAAGGTTCAAAGTTCTTTTCTTCTTCTTTGGCAACAAATGTGAATGCTAAAATGGGTTTACCCATTTTGGACCCACTTTAGACATAGAGAGTTACATTTGTGACATTTACTTTTGAAATGTATCAGCTTTCTTCAAGTATGGGCCTGGAGGCAGGGATGGGGAGGGGCAGCCACATGCTGGGTACCTGAACCCCACGCTGAGGACGTTGTGACACCATGCACCGTTACGCATGGTGCACGACCTCAAGATGTCCTTCTGGTGCAGTGTCCTGACACGCTGTACCAGAAGAGGCACTAAAGAGCTGCACACGGCTCTTAGGGCGCCCTTTTGTTGGCTCTGAAAGAAAAAACTAAAGAGCTGCACAGCGGGCAAATGGGAGAATCGGGGGCACTGTGTGTGGTAGTAGCAGTCCCGAACCTCTGCTTCACAGGGCAGCCCAGGGCATCCCCCCCAAGTCTCCCTCCCCACACAAAAGGCTTGACAATGTATTGCAACAATTGGATGAGATGCAGCTGCAAAGATCTGAATACTTAGAACATTTGTTTTTCACATACATTTCAAAGGTCTTCTTGGGGTGATTTTGAATAATTACCAGCATAACTAGAACAGAAGAAAAGTTTTCACACAATATTTGGGTCTAAATATTGGGTGAAACCTGAATTGCCTAATGTAAATTTCAGTTCTTATTTTGAGCAAAATTCTTTTGCCTACTTTTTTTTTTTATTCATAGAACATTTGTAAACCACATTTCCATTCAAAAAGAACCTCTAGGTTCAGAGCAGTGGAATATCAATACAATTAAAAAGAGCATTCAATAAAATGAATAAAATTAAAACTAAAAAAACAGAGTGGAATGAAAATATCAATACATAAAGTATCAGTCAGTCTAGCCTCCTTGGTGGCTCAAAATTTGGATAGCTGCAGATAACTCCCTCAGCTCAAGAGTGGGCTGGGGAGCTGTTTGGTAGAGTTGTGCGCCCTGGAAAATACAACATTTCTCATAACAAAAAATTAAGGTCAGCTAGAAAAAGGCATCTTCAAACAAAATTTACAATGAGGGGATGCAGACGGGAGACCGTGGGCTGCCGTGAGAAGCAGTGGATTGGGGCTGAGGCTGCCCCACACCTCGGCCACAATCCACTCTTTTTCTGGCCCTGGAAGGAGCACTAAAATAGTGCTCCTTCCTCAAGGCGCAGAAAGGGCACCAGAAGAGGTGTATTATTTTTTCAGCATACAGGTACACAAATGCACCTTTTTGGTATCTCTTCCATTGCAGCATGTCTGGACGCTGCAACGGAAGGACATCATCGGCGCGTCCACCATGTGCAACGGTGGTGCTCCAATGACATCCTCAGGAAGAGGTTGGGGCACCTGGCTTCCGGCTGCCCCTCCGCTTCCTTGGCTTGAAGATGGTGCTTTGCACCATCTGCAAATCCTCAATGTTATTGAAAGAACCTGAATGGCCCATGCTGAACAGGGATGAAGACTTCCCAATACTTATTTGGTGATTTATTACGCTTGAGTGAGTACAAACAATTTGTATCATAAATATTTGGTGCAGTTTTCATTAAGAAGTATTTGAGAGAGACTGATAGCACAGTGCTCAAAAAGTGAAGATCAAACTAAGTGGCAATTTGGATTAGAAAAATGAAATACAATTGGTGTCTCTAAGATCTAAACCAGGGGTAGGCAACCTTTCCCCTTTAAGGGCCGAGGGACTTCAGCTCCCAGAAGCCTCAGCCATGTTGGCCAATAGTCCCATGTTGGCCAATAGCTCCTGGGATTCTGGGAGCTGAAGTCCCTCGGCCCTTAAAGGGGAAAGGTTGCCTACCCCTGATCTAAACAATTAAAATGTCTATATGGAAACTATATTTTAGAAAAAGAGGAAATAAAAACTGATGCTGGAATTTAAGCAGAGTGTGATTTATATGATATCATAGCCATGGGCATCAGAAAAATGTCCAGAGCTGAGCTAGATGAAATTGACCCTGTGTTCATTAAAATTCAAGCCTTAATATGTGAATGTCTAACCAGATTTTAGATATGAACAAATGTTTAATGGAAAGTGATGAATATTTAGAGAAGGACATGTTAAGATTACAGGACAAGTAAATAATTTTAAAGATAATTGCTAAAAAAAAGTTTGAAGAGATCGTGTGTCATTTCAGAATCTCACAATGATTATATACAAATTAAAAATTCATTTGTTAATTAACTTGTTAAAAATTAAAGGAAACACAGATTAGACTAAGTGCCATCCCAAAAATCCTGACTGACTTAAAACAGGCAGTATTAAAAGATAACAACTAAAATGAATAACAACTAAAATGAATGTGAAAATAATTTTATGGAATGTAAGTGGACTTAATTATCACTAGAAAAGGAATATATATATATATATATATATATATATATTAAAAAATCCAAATATTAAATTATTTATCTTCAAGAGTAATAAAAAAAGAGATTGTAGATTTTTGCAGAACAGAAATATGGGCCTAGAGTTTGTGTCTACAAACAAGAATAAAAGAAATGGAGTAGTTATATAAATCAAACATTACAACCTAAATTGGTTTTTGTAGATGGGCAAAACAGATACATAATTGTGGAAATCAACTGCAATGGCAAGATAATTCATTTAGGGGTTGTCTGCACTGGCAAAATAAAGGGGCTTCAGACCAACTTGAAGCTGTTTATATGACGCATCGGACCGAACCAGGAGGGAACCGACATGAACCTGGTCTCTAGGGCTAAAAACCAGAGCAAAACTGGAAGTTCTGATATGGTGTCTTAATGTGGAAAATGCTCATCATTGCACTGGCATATAAACAGCATGGCACAAGTGCAAGAATGTGGGAAAGCCCAGGTAGCAAATGGAAGTAGTCTGGAGCATGCGTCCTGGGACTGCTGAGATGCAGCCACCAGCGCCATTTCTCGCCATATGTTTTTTTCAATTTAGCATACAGGTACACAAATGGACAGCTATGCCATCAACCCATCACACCATCAAGTTGTCATAGACCCCATGTTGTGAAAGTATGACAAACACAGCAGGTCACCAATAATGCAATGGATGTAATTAAAACATACACAAACCAGACAGTGCAGCAGGGGAACATGGGATGAGGTAGGGAAGGAGGCATGTATGGGGGGGGCCCCCTCCATGATTATGCTTTGCCAATGTGTCACTGGGTGTACTGATACACTCTATGGGTGGTGTGTAGGTCAGCATCTGGGCAGGAGGAAAGATGTAATTCCATTCTCATGTGGTGTGTTCATGCAATGGTACGTGTGCATGGTAAGGAGGCAACTCCCCCTCCCCCACACACAAATAAACAATTGGTGTGGCTTGATACCACATGGTGCAGACTGCTCATGGGTGTTCAACTTGCCTTGGGAGTGGGCTATGCAGAGAGCAGGGTTTCCTACTAGATTGGGAAAAATCAGGATCAACCTGGTTTTCCCTCTCTGGATGCTCAGCCCTGTAATGGGTATTTATGGTCCCAATAATAAAAAAAATCAATGAAAATGTATTAACAAAGGCATCTAAACTAGGTATCTAACACTGGAAAGACTTGCAGAGGCTGGTGCAAAACTGCAGAATTAATGCAGTTTGATTCAGCTTTAACTGTTGTGGCTCCATCCTATGGATTCCTGGGATTTATGGCACCAGAGCTCAGAGAAGGCTAAATATCTCACAAATCTACAAATCCTAGAAATCCTTAGCATTGAGCCATGACAATTAAATTAATGCTGCAGTGCTGATGCAGCCTAGGTTGTTAAAATTAGCAAGTAAATTATAGTAGTCATGGGTTATGGTCTTCAGTTAAGGGAGGAAGGTTATCATGACCAGCAGTAAAAGCTTTTTTTGTTTTGTTTTGTTTTGTTAGTTTGCTTTTGTTATGTGTTTTTTAAATGTTATCATACACACACACACACTTGGTGGGCCCTTGGCATATGTGGGGATCCGTTCTGCCCCCCCCCCCCCTTGGCATATGGGGAAAATGTGCGTGTTTAAATCCTATTCATTTCTATGGTAGCACATTCCCACATGCAGCACCACATACAGCATTTTGTCCTCCTGGGCTTGCCGTACACATAAGCTCAAAGCCGTGTATGGCATGGATGCAATGTATATATATATATATATATATACACACTTGACGCTCCACATTTGCAGGGGTTATGGGCACAAGACTACCACGAATGTGGAAAAACCACAGATAACAAAAACACTGTGATTTTACCTGAGATAATACCTCTCTAGGAATTTCTAGGTCCTCCAGTGCAAGTCTGTGGTCAACACCTGCCAGACAGTGACCAAAGAATTGTGCTGGAGGAGCTACAAATGCCTAGTGGACTGTTCTCTCTAGGAATCTCTAGGTCCTTCAGTATGACTTTTGGTTTAAGTTGACTATAGAGTTGCACTGGAGACCTAGATATTCCTAGAGAGTACATATTAATAAAAGCTGTGAATATCAAAGTCAAATCTGCAAATTGGAGGGCTGAGTGTGTACACACACACACACACACACACACAGAGTGATTAAAGAATATTTTAAAGGAATCTAAACCAGACCTACAAAATCTGATTTGCATGAGCAATTGGAATGAAGTTGGTGATCCCAATAAAGATGTTTTAGTAAAGGTATTAAGGAAGATCATGAGAGTCTATCTAGAAGTTTTAAAAATATATACAGAGTATTTTGAACTAACTGACAGTTAAAGATATTTTATTCTCCACCCACTAGAGCATCACAAACCCTTTTGTAGAATATATGTGTCCTGCATTTTTAAAAATGTGGCTAATGGATTGATAAGGCTGCTGAGTTAGCCTGGATGGCCAAATTAACATCTATTTAAAAGGATAAGCCAACTGAAGATTGTTTGAAAGACTGGAAACTGTTTATAAATTGTTTTGAGCAATAAGAAATCTAATTATTACAGTGTAATAATCTGTGGCTATGGTGGGGCCAGCATAGTGTAGTGGTTTGAGCATTGGGCTATTATCCTGGAGACCTGGGTTTGAATCCCAGCTCAGCCATGTAAGCCCATGGGTGACCTTAGGTAAATCACACTCTCTCAACCTCAGAAGATGGCAATGGTAAACCCCCTCTGAAGAAATCTGTCAAGAAAATCCTGTGACAGATTTGCCTTAGGGTCACCATAAGTTGAAAATAACTTGGCGGCACACAACAGCAACAGCAACAATAACAACAACATGGGTATAGTAATTTTAGTAGGATTATTTAGTTGGATCTGTAATGGAAGAATAATATTTTTCTTTTTCTTTTCACTACAATCTGGATTGGGGGACAGAGCCAAATTGTACATTAATTGTATGCCCTTTCCTATTCTTTCTTCTTTTTTCCCTTTCCTTCTCTTTTTCTTCCTTCCATTTCTTTATCTTTGATTGTAAATTATTTTGATTGTAAATTAGGCTGTTCGTATCTGAATAAGCCCATTATGGTTTTAAAATAATCTGGGGAGGCCCTTCTTTCTGTCCCACCACCTTCTCAAGCTCATCTGGTGGGAACAAGGGAGAGGGCCTTCTTGGTGATTGCTCCCAGACCTTGGAACTCCCTCCCTAGGGAAACCAGGATAGCCCTTTGCTCTTTTTTCAGCAGCAAATTAAAACATTTTTGTGCCTCCAAGCTTTTACAAATGGTTGAACTTGGGTTCTTAATGCTGTGTGGTGCTGGTTTTGAAGTTTTTTTGGGGGGGGAGTGGGAAATAACAACAACATTATTATTATTATTATTATTATTATTATTATTATTATTATTATTATTATTATTATTTGGAGACCTGCCACCCCAAATTCTCTGTTGCAGATTTGCAGCAGTTACATCTGTTGTGGAGCAGAATGGTGTCAGCAAAATTACTAGGCAGTCTTGTGCTAAAGGAGGTAGTTCTTGAAACATAAAGCCACAGTATTTTGCACCTGTAGTATTTTCTGAGTATTTTTGAAAGATAGCCCCATAAAGAATGGATTGCTTTAATTTAAAATTTATATCTTGTCTATTAGCTTTTTCCATAAAAATATGAATCAATTAACCCAACAGCTCAAGTCCTGAATTATATTTGTGTTTTGTAGTTAACATTTGGTAATGCAAACATTTCTCATCTAGATCTAAATAACAACTTTGAACTCAATTTCAGTTTCTAGGGGAAACTGCCTAAACTCCTAAATGCTCTTAGTGTCCTGTAGAAAGTACTGGTGATAGTTACTTGGGGACTGTTTTGTTTTTCAGTCTACAACTACAAATTGACATCCTTTCACATTGGGAAAATGGAAAGGTCCCAGGGCTAAAAGAGCAACCAGGTGGAGGTATTTGATTGACAAGCTATACATACACAGTTATAATCAAAATTATTTGAGGAACAATAATAATTTTGAAAGTAAACACAGAAGAGAAATATGGCACTTTAGAATATGCCTATATTTGATTACTGTCTCTCTGTCCCCCCGCTTTTTGGTGCCATAAATCTTTGGAATAATAATTTTCTTGAATGGAGCAAAACCTTATCTCAAACATATATGATTCTGTGCATCAGTAGAATGAGAATTTTGAACATATCAGGGGGAAAAAGACACCTTTAAACATCTTGATTGACGAGCCTGCCGACAGAATGAACTCTCATCTTACCATTTATTATTTAACTTCTGTTCACCAAGGATTTCTCACAAGAATACAAATCAATAGTTTATGTAAGAATGCTTTTATGTGAGAATGCCTTTAAACCATAGGTATATTGCATTGTTGTTTCTCAACCCATTTAAAAAAGGGCTTTGCAAATAATGAGACACTGTCACAAAGGAGGGCGGATTAAGTGCCATGCCAGACATGAGTATGATGTTATTGTTAGAATGCAGTCTGCTGTCCTCTCCTGGCTATTTGACTTTGAGTGCATGCTGTCTCAAGTAGCATTTCTGAAAATGAAGTACTAGAAAGAGAAATGACATTGTTATCCATTGTGAGACACATTCCTTTGGCTGAGGTCCATATGACATTGTTATAAATTCCCATCCAGAATCACTAGTTCCAGTATCTTCTGAAAGTTGTTTCATATAAAGGGATAGTGTCCTATTTGTTTTTATTTGCCTGACATGAGCAACCTGATGATTGATCACTGGGTAAAATTCATTGCTAGTCCTAACTAGAGTAGTCCCATTGACATCAACTTGAGTTGGTGGAGGCTAGCAAGCTTAGTTTATTTCAGTGTGCTTGCTCTTAGCTAGATCTAGCCCCCTGCATGTGTGCGTGTGTCTTCAAGTTGCCTGTCCACTTATGGCGACCCTATTAATTTTATAAGGTTTCCTTAGGCAAGGAGATGGTTTTGCCAGTTCCTTCTTCTATAATGTAGCCTACAGCACCTGGTATTTGTTGGTGGGCTCAAATCCAACAACTAACCAGGGCTTGTTAGGATTGGGTCCCAAGGGAAAATGGACATTGTGGGATAGTGCAGCAGTCATGATGACACAGCATTTGGCCACAGCTGAGTCATGCAGCCTCATGCTGATGAAACAGGACATGACATCATGGAGGTAGTCACCTGGTGCTAGAAAGCACAGAAACTGCTGCAAAAATGCTGTGAAACTGCAGTATCACTCATGTGAGTGACAGGTGTCCAGGAGGATGAGGCAGGGCCAGAGAGCCATGTGGAGCACAGGCTATATAAGGCACAAGCCTCTGGACACACATGTGGGTTGTGGATTGTTGATGGTGGATTGTGTATTGCTGTTTTGCTGTTGGAGTTGCGTTGCTGTATGCTGTACATATCTGTATATAGAACAACAAAGATTAAAGCCTCATTCATGAGACGTCTGGCTGTAGAGTCTCTGTGCTCTATCTGGAAGGGGAGAGGAGTTTCTCCAGCTGACAAGCAGCCTGCTTCATTGGAGAAGTCTGGATCCTGGTGCTTCACATTACGTGGTCTCCACGCGCTGCGTTACCACGCCTAACTTGGGTTATGGGCTCAGCTTGTGGCAGCGGTTCTGACTAAATGCACTTAAGTGGCTGTTTGTGTCTGCATCCAGAAGAGCTGCTTTCTACTATCTATAGTGCCAGAGGGCAAAGAATTAAGAAGCCTTGCTGTTTAGCTGTGTCTTCTTATCAACTCCTGATAGTGAAAGTTGGGAAGGCTGCCAATGCTGAGTTTTGTTTTGATTACAGGCAAGAATGGAATTTTTAAGGTTCCCTAAGTTGACTGACAGCAACTATTCTCAATGGGCTGTTTACATGGAAGCTACTTTGATAAGAGAGTCTATTTGGGAACTGGTGGAACAAGGTCTCACTGCTGCAAATGCTGAAATAGATAGAAAAGCACGTGCAACTATCTGTCTCAGCTTGGACCTGAGCCAACTGGTCCACGTGCGAGATAAAAGGTCTGCCCAAGAGGTTTGGTTAGCTTTGAAAAGTGTGCATCAGTCTGACTCCTTCCTGTCTAAAATGCTTTGGTCAAAAAGACTCTATGCTTGCAAAATGGCTCAGGATCAGCCTCTGGAGGAGCACAAATATGAAGCATTTTTTCCTGGAAGTGCAGTCCAGAGGAATCATCCTGTCAAGGGAGAAAAAGGCATACCTCCTGTTGAGCAATTTGTCCTCTGATTTTGACCATATACTGTACAGCCTCCAGGGAGTGCCAGAGAGTCAGCTCACAGTAGACCTTGTAATTACACATGTATTGGAAGAATGTGAGAGATGGCGTTTTGAGACTGGCAGACAACAACCACACCACCAGAGGCAGTTCAAGGGACTGAGAGTGCTGCTGTCTGCACGGTCAAGAGATGCTTTGCTTGTGGACAGCCACGGCATTTCCGAGGAACTGCAAGAGGTCACCTGCTGCCAGAGGGAAACAACAATGCCGGTCTCCTGGGAACAGGAAAGGAGTTGTTTCGGCAAAGGACAGTGACTCTCAAGCCCATCTTGTTGATGCTGCCAGACATCAATGGATGGTCAATAGTGGCATGACCCATCACATCGTGAACCAGAGGTCCTTGCTGAAGGACAGGAAACCCTCCTGTTTCAACAAAGTGGGCTTGGCTGATGGGGGTTCAAGCCAAATCAGAGACATGGGGACAGTGCATTTCCCAGGTTTGACAGGGACTTTGAGAATGTACCGTGTGCCCCCCAGTTACAGAATCGCTTAATCAGTGTCTCAGCACTGGATGCAGAGGGCTATGCTGTGCATTTTGAGGGGGATGAATGTCTCAGCACCAGAGGGGGGCAGGTTTGTGCTAAAGCTTACCAGCAAAATAAGCTTTACTATTTGGATGCCCAGGCAGGGTGTGCTACAGTTGGGAATGTGCCATTGCACTCAAACTGTTTACACTATCTCCACAGAATATTAGGACATACCGGGTTCACAAATTTGGAGAGATTGAAGAGAGTATGTACTGGGCTAAAGTGGGATGAATGCAGCAACCACTTGGAATGTTCTGTGTGCAGCAGAATCAAGCTGAGGGCTTATCCTGTTGCAAAAAGGAGCAAGTGCACCACGCAGAGGCCATTCTAAGTGGTGCATGCAGATATTGCAGGCCCTTATACCAAGTCCATAGGGGGCAGCAAATATCTGATGGTGGTTGTTGATCGCCACACAAGGTACACCTATGCCTTCACCCTTAAGGAGAAGAATCAGGAAGCTCTCACATTTAGAGCCTGGGTGGAGATGGTCGAGAGGGAGTTAGACTACAAGGTGGGCTCCCTGGTGACAGATCGTGGTGACGAATTCCTTTCTTCCAGTCTGGGGAACTGGTTGAAGCAAAAGGGTATCTGCCACAACACCACTAACCCTCCCACCCCTCAGGAGAATGGATTGGCAGAGAGGAAAATAGGGGTGCTGACACAGATAAAGGATTGTCTGATGCTGGATGCTGGGGCACCAGAAGGTCTTTGGGGGGAGGCAATCCTGACAGCATGCCACATTAGCAATAGACTGTGGCATTAGCTGTAAAACAGACTCCATACTTCATGCTTTATGGGAGTTATCTGAGGGTGTTTGGCAGTTTGCCAATGTGCTGGTTCCCCAAAACTTTCGGAA